AATGTGTAAGAAAGATCTCAAATTGCTGACTGGGCATGAACTGAGAAATAGAAAAATAGAAAATTGAGCAATGCAATGAAGAGATTTGCCGGGTAAAAATTTAGAGCTCAAGCACTTGATGGTAATACCGTTGTCAATGATGGCAATATTAACACACGTTCTGAAGTCTTCAAGATCTGATGGCTCTTTTGCAACGTGATTTTTGACCGGAAACTTCCTCTCGGGAGACTACAGTGGCTGTCGCAACTACCGACGACCTCTTTAATTGGGAAGTTGGTCACAACTTCTCTACAGTGTCCTTACCAGGATCCTTGCTCCTATTCTTATCCACTGCAAGCAATTGTAGTTGCCAACGCTTGCAGCTCTATAGCGAGGACTGTATAATTTGAGCGGGTGCCAATTGGTAATGTCGCTAGACGTTTTGACTTAATTGGTAATTCTTTATTCAAGACCTCCAATTTTTACAAGTAGAGGAATAATGGAGATGCCGATGATGCAGAGAATGAGAATAAATCACTGAGCAAACTGCTCACCAACCTAAACTTCCACCGTACCGAAGTTTGAATATAAATCGAATAGGAATGTCGCGAGGATACGCGAAAGGGGCCTTACCATACTACGGGCGACACTATTTGTCCCTAAGAGAAAGCTCTTGGAGGGCAAGTAGTTGGTCAGTCTGCCGTTGAGATATTATATAAACAGTGGCCCAAAGTAGTCGGGATCAGTCAGTCACTGAGTCAGTGAATCAGGCAGCTAGTGTGTGTTAGTGTCTTCATAAAATCTTCTGCGTCCAGCGACTGTCGACGAATATCGATTGATATTTTATTTTGTTGTTACGTGCCTATTAGGCAGATTTATTGTATTGTTCATAATTTGTGTTTGCTCAATCGTTGTCTTAAGAAAGAGGCTGAGACTTGGTAGCCCGAGATCTCTTTCGTATAATTGTATATTCTAATTGCTGATAAACAAGTTAATTAAATCGCTGTGGCATCTCACAAAATACTGAAGTTGAACTTGAAGTTAAGTTACAGTCCTCAGATAAGAACTGCAGATGTTGGCAACCACAATCGTTAGCAGTGAAAGACAAGCAAATAAAACAGAAACAAGGAGGAATACGTTCCCACAAGGGGAGACTGTAGGGAGGCAAATAGTCTCTCAATTATTAATATTGTCGGTGGATGCGACAAGGAACACAGGCCAAACTGATCCTTAATGATCCTTCCAATAATAAAGCAAAGAATTATCACAACAAACACAAAGAAATAACTTTGAACAAATAAATTTTGACCCAAAAAAATGTAGAACAATAAGAACTATTTAACAAAGAAATTAAAGATACTAAAGACAGAGGAAAGAAATGAGCCTAGAAGGTATAGGAAAGAGACAGCAAAGCTTGAAAAATAAGCGATTACCAATTTCCTCCTTAGCTCTAACGAGAATAATCTTCTTAATAATACCTTGCTCTTTTATACATGTCTGTCTGGCAATAATCTTCCATCACGGCCTCCAAAAGCGTCCCCTTAAGGTCATAGCTGGTACATTACTGTCTTCTGTCCTTGGGGCCATTTCGCGTGCCGTCGCGACAGTTGCCTATATTTTCACTAACATGTCTTGCGCGAGCGCTTGCGACACTATGTGACGGTAATGCCTGCAGAGGGGGAGACTCATTATTGTAAGTGGTAAATAATACGTAGGCCAAAAGTGGTTGCAGGATGGTCCTCGAGACCCGTATGTTAATCGAGATTTGGGAATAAGATTTCGACCTGTGTGTTTAGACGTACTCAGTAACAGACAAAGATGGTCTGTTGTCTGACGTGTTTCAGTTCAGTGTTGCAGCAAGCTTACTGATTAGTTATCAAAAGAGTATTGGTTACGAAAGATTATAAGTTATTACTTCCAAATGCAAAAGAATTAATAAAAAATATATTGTATTTACGACACAAGATGTGACCGTAAAATCAGTGGAAACTAATTTAATCATATATATTACTGCAGGCCAGAATTTCTGGGGCCATTCAGATCACGTTTTATAAATTTTTGTTATATGGAACAGAAAAGGTTTCACATTTTAACAGAAGTGTTTTAAAGCAGATCTGGTAGCTATTTAACTTCATGATTTTAGTTGTTTTCAGCGGTATCTTTTAGTTTTATTTTCTTTATAATTTCCTAAGGGTTTCGCTTTTATTTTTATTTTGATTTGTGAGTTTACTTTTGCACGGCTCTACGCCTAGTGCGCAACAGTTTTTTAAGTTTTCTTTTTTCACCTTTCATCTCATCTTTTTTTTCATGTGAATAGACCTTACAAAAAGCCCAAAAAAACAAAAAAAATACAGTTAATGTTGAGGGACATTGAACAGAATGAACTTCAGAAAATGCATTTAAAAAGGGCAGTTAGAAATCTGAAAATAATACGAGTCTAATTTTTATTAGTTCATAACTACTTGTGCTATCTAAAGAATACATTTTAATTACGTATCCTCTGGTACTAATCTACTCCTACTTTATTTCTTACTGGTATCTCTCCTAACCCAGTTGCAGATATATCTTTTGATGTCACCATGACCCTTCCGCTTTCTGATGTTTAGAATGTCGGGCCTGTACTCAAAAGCACCCGTAAAGTTTTGGAAAAATTGCGACGTATGATTTTCTTCTGAACGGGAAAATTATGGAGAAAGATCAACTAGCCAAAATGCGGTCAGTTGCTGTAAAAAGCCGCCCGTATCAACCAGTTCAGCCCTCATTTTACTCTTGAATAAGTTTCCCCTTGAATTTTGCTTTCGCTGAGTGCTCGTTCTTCGCCTTATGCCTACCTACAAAAGCAGGTTTTCATCCCTGATTCCGTTCCCGTAATTTTTTTACTTAGTATTTCTATTTTGGTTTCTTCGTCTAAGTTTCCCCAATTTGTATTCGTTCAATTCCAATTGTTCTTGAATTGTTTTTCGGATCATATCAGTGAAAACTTCGGCAGCAGAATTGTATGAGAACACAAGTTTTTCCAGAAATTTTCATAACATAATTACTGTGATTATTGCAAAAACAATGCTCCGTAAACAAATCACTGGCAAGATTGTAATGAAGCTAACGACCAGCGTTATTATTACAGAAACTTTTTTTTTACTGAACTATATCGGTCTTCGTAAAGTCGTTGTTGGCAAAAAGATAGTGGTCCCCTTACAGATTAGAATCCATAAGAAGGTCAAGAACACTGTTGAAATTATAGTTATACAACCTTTTTAGTCTACGGCTGGTACTGTAAGAGGCAAAATTAATTACTGGCTCACAGCACAGGGCTTGTAAAATAAGAGACCTTTTGGACCACCCCATGAGAATGATCGCAGCAATCACCCTCCGATTACATAAGGTGTCGATTTATCACGTTGTCTCTTCTTGCTGACTTCTAGATATAAAGCCTGTCCATCTGACTACTATTTTTCCCTTCGCATCGTTTTTGTCATCGTTGTAGATCATTCAGTCATTTGAGAGTCATGCATGTAACATAACACAGCTTTTTCAAATTGTACGTAGAAAACACATCGCTTAAAATGGCATTTTTTAAAGATGATTAAATTACGGATCAGACCAGTGAACACTGTTTCGGCAATCCTTGAAGTGGCGCTGCGATAGGCAGCTGAGGTGATAAACGAGTCTGCAATTAGAGAAATTTTTTAATTCTGTAAGCGTCTTTGAAGGATTCTGCTGACTTAAGTGTATAAGTACAAAGGCACTTTGTACACATGCTGAACAATCCAAACAAATTTGCAAACGAATGTCATCTTTCACAATGCTCTTTGTTCACCAAAACGTCTTGGACCAAGAAAGGTCCGGACAAATACGAACATTTCAGAACAGCAGTCGAAAACCGAGTAAAGCAGATTCAATGAGTTAAGTGAGAGCGGCATGCCATTTGCTGTGACCTGCGGAAAAAACAGCCAGTTAAGTTATAACGCATAGAGGCGGCTGGGCAGGAGTTGAGGGATATGGACGGTATTGGCAGCTAACCAACTGAGCGTTTGCGCGCAAAATTCCCGTGTTTCTTCAGAGCACCTTAAAAAATTTTTAATCGGCTAAATCGGTCACGATAGGTTTGTTATGTTTTATTTGTTACCAAAAATTACCAGTTATTTACGTAGCTGTGATATTTTGGACCTCTGTTGAACGTTGGTATATGATGAAATTTGCCGTGGAACTCAAGCAGTTTCAATTTGGTTGGCCTCTTTGTTTGCAGATGGCTCAAGTAAAGAGAGATTTTTGTTTGGATATTGTGGTGTTCATCAAGTATATCGTTCTGTTTTTATTCTTTCCTGTTTTTTCTTGTTTTTGATTACTTGTTCCATCAGAAAAACAGTTTTAAGTATTAAGAATCCCGTACGGATTAATTTGTCCCAATCATTCAGCCATCAAATTTTTTATGGTTTTTTCCTTTTAAATCTTGTCATGTTTTTTTTTTTTTTTTTTTTTTTTTTTTTTTTT